AATCTGTCTGTTCCTGTTTTTCTGATGATGAGGGATGCAGTGGGTCACTTGGTTGCTGTTGCTTTCAGCTGGTTGAAGCCATCGTCCTGCCCATGAACCATAAAGAGAAGTTTGAGAACCTGGGCATCCAGCCACCCAAGGGGGTACTGATGTATGGACCCCCAGGAACCGGCAAGACGCTGCTGGCTAGGGCCTGCGCTGCCCAGACCAAGGTGTGTGTGTATGTGTGTGTGTGTGTTCTCCAGTCAGTCTCATGACGTACAAATGTACTTCATAATTATGCAAATTACTATTTGAAGTGGCTCCCCATTGCTTCTGTAAAGCTCTGTGGGTGTTGCTCTATATCAATGCAACATTAATTCATTCAGTGTCACTCATTGAGTTTCAGTTGAAAATATTTTCTAAATGCCAGTCAGTTCTATATTGTTTCTGGGTTACCACTTCACCTCTGTGAATCTATTTTAGGTTTTAATGGTATGCTACAATTTTATAGGAAGGCTACATATATAGTTTATATACTTCTTGGCAAAGTAGCTGCTGTTTCCATTGATTGTCATTCTGCTGAAACGCTTCCTGTCTTGCCAAGAAATGGCTCATAAATTCGAGTTAATTGTGGCAAATGGAGTCAGACTCAAGTCAAAATCGACGACCATTTCAGGCCACCTTCCTGAAGCTTGCTGGTCCTCAGCTGGTTCAGATGTTCATCGGGGATGGAGCCAAGCTGGTTCGGGATGCCTTTGCCCTGGCCAAGGAGAAGGCCCCCTCCATCATCTTCATCGATGAGCTGGATGCCATTGGGACCAAACGGTGTAGTAGTCCACGAAGAACAAGCTTAGCCTGCTTAATCCTGGTGTTTCTGCACCTTTAAGCTGTTGACCTATATAAGATTAGTCTTCTGTAGTGTCATTTGTAGAGGCCTCTTGTTTCTAGGTGACCTATGTGATGTTGATCAACTTCTCCTTTTAATATTATCCCCAGATTTGACAGTGAAAAGGCAGGTGACAGAGAGGTACAGAGAACCATGCTGGAGCTTCTCAACCAACTGGATGGGTTCCAGCCGAACATGCAAGTCAAGGTACTACCCTTCATTCATCACTGAGAACAGGGAAAAGCTGCATGACTGAAGCATGCCCGATGAGTTCTTCATTGCAGACTTCTTTCTATTATTTGAAAGCATTCATAATCCTCACAGCTGAAGAGCTCTGTCTTAGCTTTGCCCTAATTCTGCATTCCAGTTCACACCATAGATTGTGTGTCTGGTCCAAGAATTATTAGCGTCTGCTTTCCTGCAGAGGGGAATTCAGTTAATTTTTGTAGGATAGGGTATTTATACCTGTGCATAGCACACTGTGGGGATTACAGATGTGTGCGAGGTGAAGGCCAACTTGCACGGTCTCCTCAGTGTTCTGAATAGTGGGTTTGATGCTTTTTGGCAGGTCATTGCAGCCACCAACCGGGTGGACATCCTGGACCCGGCCCTGCTGAGGTCAGGCCGTCTGGACCGCAAAATTGAGTTCCCCATGCCCAACAAGGAGGCCCGAGAGCGCATCATGCAAATCCATTCCCGCAAGATGAACGTCAGGTATATGAGGAGCTGGCTTGCTTCATATTAAGAGCCCTTTAAATGGAGGGGGGTAGTAAATGTGGGTTTCTTAGTACATTTACCCAAAGCCTTAGAAATGCTGCCACAGCACAGTTGCTCAAGGGCCTAAGTGAGAGATTACAGTAACAAAGCTTTGTAATGTGCAACCGTCTTCTGATGTGAGACATTATGGTAACAAAGCTCCATCAGCATGTGTTGCCAAATTCTCATGTCAGACATTCCCTTACCAAAGCTCTGTAAGCACGTGTAGCCTCCTCCTAATGTGAGACATGACTGTAACGAGGCTTTGTAAGCGTGTATAACTGCCTTCTGACGTCTTCTGTGCTCCCCCAGTCCTGATGTGAACTACAATGAGTTGGCTCAGTGTACAGATGACTTCAATGGGGCCCAATGCAAGGCGGTGTGTGTGGAAGCGGTAAGTTTTTCCATCCCTTTCTCCCATCCCCTTTTACGTAATAAACCTGTATTTCATACTTGTTATATGGCCCCCCCATGAATCACCACCTTAGTGTGGTGGAGTTTGAGTGCCTGGTGGCCATGCCTCCACCCAATGCCCAAAGGGGTAACATAGGTTTGCCCCCTTGTAGGCCTGCCACCTGCAGGGGGAGCCGTGGAGGTTGGGTACAGTGTAGATTGGGTGGCAATTGAAGGCAGGGGCCTCGATTGACCGATCGTCGGCAACCAAATATATATGGTGTGATATTGTCCATTAAAATCACATTCTGCTTTTTCTATTGTACAAGTCTCATGTGACTGGGTTACCATGTTTGTTGAGACCTTATGCCACCTAATGTGCAGTGTAACCTAGCATACCTACCCCGAAGTCAGTAAAGGACATGGGCTTATACACCAAAGGTCATGCCACTTTCTGTTGTTTTGATGAAGGATGATACCTTAATGCCAGTTACTCCATCATACTGACCAGCTTTTAAGAAGCTAAAGCTAAGCTAATCCATGAACCTTTTTCCCCCTTCAGGGTATGATTGCACTGCGCAGGGGGGCAACAGAGCTGACTCATGAAGACTACATGGAAGGCATCCTGGAGGTGCAGGCCAAAAAGAAGGCCAACCTGCAATACTATGCTTGAGCATTAACATTTGAGTGGCAAAGATGGATGTTTTTCTGTGGGTAATGCTCTGCTTATGAGAGGTGGGTGGAACTCTGACAGCCACTCAAAGAATGCTGGATTATATGGGTAGATTCCGATTGGTTCCGGTGTGATTGACATGCAAAGCAGGTATTGTGAGATGCTGAGGTTGTTACACATTGTGTATTTCCTAATTCTATGTGTATTATGACCCATAATTAAAGCATTTTCCACTGATGCAAATTGCACTGGTTTGTATTAGGCCACATGTTCCATTTATTCAGAGCAACAGTGATGGACTAACCAATTTCTGCGGGCAGAGTTTTCATGATCCCTCCACCTTATTCAGTCTGCAGTGGTACATTCTATTTTAAAGGCCAGTACCTCGCAGTAAGTATCATTCTAAAGCAGAAATGCACACGTATGAGTCAGGGTTTCTTTAGAACAGATGAGATTTTTTATTCTCTCTGTAGTCATAAAACCCCCTTTTCTTTTAAAGTCTAGGGCTCTAATTAGGGCTGCCACTAACAGCTTTTTCTATAGATCGACTTTTCAATTGGTCGATTAATCTAAAATTATCCTTCATAGAATCAACTTGACTGTTGAAGTTGACAAACTGATGGCCATTCCAGGGCTTTAGATAATGCGCGCCGGCTTTTCAGTACTATACGCAGATTAGTAGTATGCCTAAACATATTGTGATGCCTGAAAGTTAGTAATCTGTATAAATTTGCGTAGTGGAACACGCCACTTGCGACAAGCAATAAGCATTGAAGTCGCGATGAAGTAAGGGACAAATCAGCAGCCACGACATTGTTTAGAAGAGGAGATACTATGGTTAAACCAGGCAAAAAGACGACGGTGGTGTGGCGGTACTTTTTGTAAAAATGGTTTTCATTTGTATTTCAGTTCACGAATCGCGTCGAATTAAATTTAAGTTTACGATAACGACATTGGTCCCAAGAAGTCCGACGTGCACAAACGCACACACTGGCATTGTCGATCAATGTAGAATAACCCCAGATTTAATCTTAAACATTTTCTTTTTGAACTACAGCATTAGAAATTAAGGTGATTTAATTTTCTTTTAAAAAGTTGATTTTAAGTAGTCTAAGCTGAAAATGCGTCTCAACTAATCGTAGCAGCCCTAGTTCTAATCCAAACTTGTCTCATGGAACAAGCTAAGCTTATGCTGAAAAGTGCAATGCGCAAAGCATTTTGGTTTATTTAATGTGTCAGGCATGATTAATCACAGTAGAGTCCTCTTTAGAATAGACATTGACGGATTTACAATAGCGTTGCCACATGATTAAAAAGAATTAATACAGTTAAGCAATGAAAATAGATTGAGGGAACATCAGGCAGAATATTTGATCCTATACAGCAGCCTCATAAGGCTAATTCTGGTAGGACAGTATTTCATTTGAATCAGTGGTGCAATTTGTCAACATTTTATTGCAAACCAGAAGTTCTACTTTTGCACAGTCCGGTTTCAAAGCTTCACAGAAACCAAATGGAATTGTAGGGAATTGAGTTTTTCTGGAGGTAGTCCATATACCCGCACTGGCTAGGGGAACACTATGCCTCATGGGGAACCTGTAAGCTGAGACTTCCAGTGCTGCACACCTCATCTTTCTAGGTTATGGCAACATAGTGAGCAGGCACTATTTTCAGATGAGCCAAAATTTAGTCCTTTCGCTACATCTATTCATCAAGTTTGTAAACTCAAGGTCAGTTAGGGGTGAAACCACAAAAGCTGATGACCAAAAACAAGTAGAAAAAAATTGTTCAGAATTTGCTCACCTATTCTGGTGATATGGAATTATAACAAAACTTTAAGAAAACCCATAATACTTCAACCTTCCGAAATCTGAAACTCAACAGATCATGTGTTGTATTGTGATGCCTGATCTGAAAAGAAGACTAACAAGATCCCAGTGGTGCCCTGCTTCTGACTGCTTGCATAAAGCTGGGGTTCCTCAGACTTGAGTGCATTAATACCCATTGTAGGAAGTTTGAATGTCATGTCATTCTGTCTTGAGCATCAAATCTCGTCAATGCCTTTCATTGAGGCCTTGAGCCATTTTTCACTGAATTTGCATTTGCATCCTGCTTTCAACCATAGGAAATGAAATAAAGTTAGAGGACCAGGGTGGAACATGCAAAACAAACACATATGTGCCGATTGCTAAATTCTGATCCTCATTTTAATACCAGTTAATAAAATTGACATTTTATAGCCTTAGATGATGAAAAATGTACAGTCTTAAGGATCCACAGGAAGCCTGAAATAAACCAAAGACATTCCTCCTCATTTCTCACCAGTCATTGGCTTTATTCAACATTCCTCTGGAATTGGACCCTCTGCTGGAGCCGTAGCATAATCACACATTCAGCATTACAACACACTTACTGACACAGGCTGGTCTCAGGATAACAATAGGTACATGCTGAGCTTGCAGGGACACTGAAATAGGCAAGTCCGCGTGAACTGGCGGCAGACCAGAGATCGCCCTTCCTGACCGGGCCGGGGGAGCCTGACAGTGGCACAGTGGGGAACTTCTGTACAATGAACGCTGCTGATAACCAGGAACACGCCAAATCCCAACAGCGAAGGGAAGACATTGTTCACCTTATGTAAAAAGTGAATTGCCTTCATTGCAAGCCATGAGTTTAAAAAGTTCCTTTTTTAAACAAATCCCTAAGTATTAATATAAAGCTCTTTACTGATTCAATCAAAGCAGCTCCCACTGTCATAAAATTCCGTATCATTATTTGAACTGGTGGTAGTTAAAAAAAACAACTAAACAATGTAAACAAATGCATACAAAGAATTGATATACTTGTCCCACTTCATCTTGGTACAATTACTGTGCTGCTGATTCACCTTTAAAAGAATCTCTTCTGATCCACTGCATACATCTTTCCTGCTGGCAACTTTCGGAAAAATAGACTATTTCCTCTGCTCATGTTCCCCTGTAAACAAAAGCAGGAACAGGTGAATGAATTAGGGCTGGGAGATTTAAAAAAAAATAAAAATAAAAAAAAAGTGAAAAATGGTAATATTGAGTCAGCCAACATCCCTCCCACAAGCAAATACGGGGTGGGGGGGAATGGTGCTGATCATTTTGTCTATGTGGGAAAATGATCGATCGGTGGGCTGACTGAATTATGATTTAAAAACCTGTTGTGTACCATATAAAGCAGGTATGCTCTAACCACATCTCCATTATAACTGATGTTTACATACACTGACACCTTCACATATAACTGAAGTTATATAATAGTAATGCAATAAAAAAAAAAAACTGCATCAAACAGGCATGAAGGACGAACCAAAAGTTAAATCACAAAGTCTACATCATCTCAGACAAAGGCGATATGAGTCGGTTAGCCACTGTCAAATATTGATACCAGGTTACTTGTCTGTTGCCGATTACTATTACTTATACTATTATTATAGTTCTTATGTTCTTATGTTCTTATGTACTGATAACACCCTCATATCACCCAGCCCTAGCCTTAATAAACTTGTTCTCTGGGGGACAGACGAGGGGTCTGCAAGTTTGGGGAAAGGGGAGTCACCTCCAGGCTCAAGTGTCTCCAGCAGCCCAGCCAGGTGGGGTATACAGAGGCGTAGGGGGGGAGGCCACCAGCCAGCCTGGAGCAGCAGAGGAGAGACACACTCATGTCACCTGAATACGCCTTTACAACCACCCTCACAGCAAAGATCTGCGCCCTGAAGGTCAGGACTTACCCACAGTTATTCACAGCCATCAGGTTGGAGACCAATACGAAGGGATACGTGAGCATGCTAGCAAAGAACTACAGAGCAAGAAAAAATAAAGAAATGCATTAGTAAATCTCTACACTAGTCCAGTTTAGTAGCTTTGCCATCCGTTTTACAGCACCATAATATTCCTTAGGTCTGCTGAACAATGTCATCGGTCACCGACATAGCCCCAGAAAGGAGACTCAAGAATTACCCCAGTGACAGCCTGGGAGCAGTTTCGGATCTCACCCATGTGGTTCATCTGCAGGAAGAAGAGAGACGTGGATCATTAATGTTACCATGTCAGGTAGGGGTGTAACGATATTACAAACCGAACCGAAATATCGCGATACACGAACCACGATACGTATCGCGAAACTCTCGTGGCGTACCGCGGTACTCTCACGCCCCCTGCTGCCCATTGTTGAGGTTGACGTCACTTGACTCTAACTAATTTAACCAATTTAAACACATCTTTATTTTATCACA